CGATGTTTTCCTTCATTGCCGAGCACGTGGTAAATCAGCACTTAAAATTGCAATTAACAATTTCATTGGTGCCGGTGGAGATCGAACCCGGGTTGCTCGCGTACTGTGAAATTTACAGCGAGCGCTAACCATTTGAGATACCATGGCTCTTTAATAATTAGATTGTAGTTCTTAGTAAAGTAATTACTAAGAACTATAACCTAATATTTTCATACATATATAATTTAATTTGTTTAATAAATATACTAAATTATAAACTGTGTCAATCATTTTTAAGCAGTAAGCATCAATATATCGCTTACGTTTCCGATATATAAAATTCCGATTTTGATATATTTATAATTATCGATATATTGAAAATCCGCTATTTTAAAAATATCAACAGCCCTAGTTTGAACTGATCAGTTGGAATGATCAGTTGAACTGACCGTGTGTGTTGAAATTTTTTTGGATTAAATCCGTTTGAAGTCATCAGTTGAACTGATGTCAGTTTAACTGACCGTGAGTGGGGACCATTAGACGCTATACGTAATTAAGTACAAGGGTCACCCCAAAGCCGCGGCCATCGGACAGGTAACTTAGACTAATTATTTATTCTGGGATCACTATGTTCATACACGTACCACCAATAAATCTATCCCTCGACCACATTCGGATGCACCTCATTGTAGCCGGCTAAACCTAGATGTGAGTTTAAATGTACATTTTGAGCAGATCATATTTAATACGCTTTAGGGCTAACTGGTCGCCGTAAAGTTACGTACGCAAAAGAGTCCGCCAGCGACTCGGGTTCGATCATGCCGGCAACAGTCAAAATTTTAATTGGATAAGTACAACATCATGAATCACGAATCCTTACGATTCATGATTTCCTGAATGGCTAGGAAATAAAATATTTTGAGCACATAACGTAGTTCGCCAACACACACTACTTGATTAACGCGTCTGACTAAATCTCTCAAAACTGACAGGAGGCGTGTGGCTTGTCGTAGGCCGGGGGAAGCATACATGCTGTTTTCAACACGCTTTTATTTTTTAGCTTCGCGTGTATCTATCTATCTATATATCTATCTATCTATATATCTATCTATATATCTATCTATCTATCTATATATCTATCTATCTATCTATCTATCTATCTATCTATCTATATATCTATCTATCTATCTATATATCTATCTATATATCTATCTATATATCTACCTTGGGCAGCGTTCGGGAAATTACGGCACATCTTCTCGTCAGGTATACCTCAAAACTTGAAAACGAGACTGTACACCCATTGCGTGTTGCCAGTGATGACATACGGAACTGAGACGTGGTCCTTCACTGCTGGCCGGATGAGAAAGCTCAAGGTCGCTCAGCGAGCTATGGAGAGGGCTATGCTCGGAGTTTCTCTGCGTGATAAACTCAGAAATAAGGATATCCGCAGTAGAACCAGAGTGACCGACATAGCCCAACGGATTAGTAAGCTGAAGTGGCAATGGGCTGGCCATATAGCTCGAAGAACCGACAACCGATGGGGAAGAAAGGTTCTCGAGTGGCAGCCTCGTACCGGCAGGCGAAGTGTAGGGCGTCCCCCCACTAGATGGAGTGACGACCTGGTAAGATATGCAGGAAGTCGATGGATGCAGGTGGCTCAGGACCGTGCTTTGTGGCATTCTTTGGGGGAGGCCTATGTTCAGCAGTGGACTTGTGAAGGGCTGTAATAATGAATTATGGTGATATCTACCTATCTATATATCTATCTATCTATATATCTATCTATCTATATATCTATCTATCTATGTAACGGAATCTTTTTGTTTAATTTTCACTAACTTATAGATCGTCCATTGACTTCAAAATACGCACTCATATCAAGGACCAATGACAATACAATAATTTAATAATTTTATCCAGGTATCCTGTTTAGGATCACCAGGATAAAATAACTATCAGGACCATCATAGCTCATGATCAATGAAATGAAATAATACACCTGGGAACTATCAGATACTAAGCATTTATTAATTAAAAGTAGTATTAGTTGCAGGACATAAAAACCGAAGGAAATTTTTATTGGCGCGACGACCGAGAGAGAAGGCAGCGTCACAGGCGGCAATTACTAGTTAAATGTTAATTTTTAATAGAGCATACAAAGGCATATGTAAACTTCATATTCTGCCTACAAAAACTCTTATATTATTACATTACATACGTCAGAGAAAGAAATCAATTTCAAGCTCCAACCCGAAATGTAGTAATACTGTAATTAAAGCTTAACATGGCACAGCAACCTTTTTTACTGGTAACGAGGGATTCTGTCATAGTCCTCATTAGTGTCAAGGCATATAAATTTTGATTCTTACTTACTTGACTTAGGTACTCTTTTATTCTTCGTGGTTAAACGTAGGTGTATGTCTATTAGCTGCAGCATGCACTACCAGCAGGCGGACTGTGTGCCCGTATGTCACCTTTCTTCTAATTTAAAAACATTACATTTCGAATATGCGTTTGTGTAAAGAAAAACAGCATGAGACGTCTCAACACGAAGGATGTGGAACTGTTAGTCGCAATTTTATGAGCTGATTTAACACGCACTCGGCGATTAAGAAACTTAGTGATAAAACCTGCACAATGTCTAAAATATTTCGCAATGATTTAAAATTTGCTAACACGTTTGATGAATGTCCTGTGTGGTCAGTGGTGGAATAGCTGTTACTTTTCTTTACACTTCAAGGAATCACACCTTAAAAAAATTTGTCGTATATCAGGTACCATTTTGTGAATTAGTGTTGCCATTTTCAAAAAAAAAAAACTCCATATAAGCAAAGTACTATAAGGCATAAAACTCTGAAAATAGAAAAGCCAGGCGTCTTTGACATACCTACCTACTTTTCAAGGGGAGTAAATTTTACATTCTACATAATGAGACCTACTGAAATGACTCTGAAGCACGGAACAAAGGCAGACGCTTATTATTTTCAAAAGCACACTATGACAAGAGACGTCATTGTAATGATGTGTATATTGTATAGTTAATGATAACACTTGACACGTATATTTCTTTTTATAATTACGCGATTGAATGACGCTGCTTATGCATTATATCCGATGGGTCGGCTACACCGGGGAAGAAAATACATACAATACATATAAATACGGGGATGAGAAATATACCCATTTTATTTCACCTTATTCTTCAGGATTGACAACGTATCTGCAATTTGCTTTCTAAGTGATGATAGATGTGGGTGCCTATAGGCAACAAAAACTATTTTTACTATCAGGATAGTAGACAAGCAATGAATATAATTAGTGTTAATTAAAAATGATTATAATTTAAAAAATAAGGAGTAAGGTAAATAAATTCGTGAAAAAGAGAACCATAAAATTATACTTTTACTACTATTAAAGTAAAGTTGCAGCCTATTTACGTCCCACTGCTGGGCAGAGGCCTTCTCTCATTTCTGAGAGGGTTTTAGGCCGAGGAAATGTCCGCCGCGCTGTCCCAATACGTGTTGGCAACCTTCAGATGTCTTTGAAATATTTTTTTCTTATTTCTCGGACATTTAGGTTTGGTCAAGATGTTTTCCTTCACCGCTGAATCTGCACTTAAAATTGCAATTAGCAATTTCATTGGTGCCGGCGGGGATCGAGCACGGGTTGCTGGCGTACTGTGAAGCTTACAGCGAGTACTAACCATCTGAGCTACCACGTCTCTACTATTAATAATTACATTTCCTTCTCATTATATTCGACTTTGATGTGCCAACATTTTTCAGTCCAGTTCATTAATATGTTTAATGTCATCAAACAACCTCATTACACTTTTTTGAGGAACTGCATCGAAGCCCCTGTAACAATCTAACCGAACACTTAGTCCTTATTCTCGCCACAAAAGTCCAAATCTCGCGAAACACTACGCGACGTTGCTTTTAGTACAGCGAGAGCGTTTTTGGCACCTACATGCGATGTACCTACATGTATGCGACAGCAAGCCCAGACGGTAATGCAGCATGACGGACCTTCATTTTATATCATCAGTCATTTTATCGTATTTCAGGACATCGCTGTATAACAGTGATAGTCTTTACCACTGTTATACAGGCTGTCCTGAGCTGTTGTGGGTTTATTGTTTCTCATAATTTTCAGCGATTTTTTCAAAGGGTGATTTATATTTCTCGTATTTTTGTTGCGTGGCAAAACATACTATCTCAAGAACTATTTCTCTGGTTTTGTCTTTTGTTTTTCTTTTTGTGTCCCGATGAGATCTGTTGCATGACATGCCCATTCGATAACGATCATGTGTATATATCAGTCGTAGCTTAGCATAGTGACACAGATAAACTATCAAGTTTGAGCTAATTTAACTCTTTGGTTTTCTTTTCCACAATTCTTCCAAGGTCCGTATCATGATTGACGATATTCTTACAGTCAGCAATCAATCCCCGATATCTGTCAAATTGGGGGTTTGTTTTGTCTATCAAATGCTAAAAGGGACACTTCTAAACTATGAATTACAAATTCATAGTTAAGAATCTATCTTAACTATGAATTACAGTGTTAATGAACTGTCAATCAACCTCGAGCACGTTCTTTCCATGTCTTTCGTATCACTTAAACATTTTTGTTATTTTTTTGCCATAGTGGCGGTTGCTTCGAAAGGGCGTCCCACGAGGTGATGCCACTTGTGAATCATAGTTTATTCAAAACAAGAGTCACATTAAAGAAAATCAGTGTTAGAAAGCGGTCGGTTTACAAAACAAGGAACTAGACTTCTCGCCCGTTCGCAGTCGACTAAAGGAGTTACGGTAGTAATGGACATTAAAAAAAAACATCGATGTATTTTTCGATTGAATGCATCGGATTGTTGCATCGATGTAATATCGATGTATCAAAAAATACATCGATGTTTTCTATACATCGATTGTTTTTCTATAAGTTAAATATGTATGTGGTTTAGAAATAAAAAGCAAGCATCTATTAAAATAACTTTATTACCTTTACATTTATTTTTAATATATATCCCAATAATTTTTATCTATACTTTGTAAAAACAAAATTTTACCCAATCTTTTTCCCTTTAATCTATTTCTTTGTTGAGTCATTACCTGCGCCGCTTGCGAAAACAGTCTCTCTGATGGCACTGATGTGCCCACCATTGTTAAATATTTAAAGGCAATTTTATGCAATATTGGAAACTGTATTTTGTAATCTTTCCAAATTTCTAGAGGATTGTCGTTAAGTCTTCCAACAGGACTTGTCAGATAAACTGAAAGTTCATCAGACAAGCTATCTTCAGATTTATTACTCTTCCAATTGCGATGTACCAGTTTGTAATGATCACTCCATAATGAAAATGTCTCTTCACTTTTATCAGACTTATCCGAGTCTGACTCGATTTCTTCAATTTGACGCAAATGAATCTTCATTAAATCTTTGATTTTCGATACAGCATTACTACAAGCTATTGCATCGTTAAAGTGAATTATTTTAAAGCGTGGGTCTAAAATGTTTGCTATAGCAAGAGGAGTTACATGTTCAATGGAACCCATTCTTTTCGTAATTTCTTGCAGAGCCAGTTTTTGCACTTCACGTGCCACAGGTTCTCCTGCGACACCTGCTGAAGTAATTTTGGAAAATATGCAGCGGACTAAAGGTATAATTTTGCTGGTTGTGCAATATTTATCTGCAGAAATTTCTTTTGTGGCTACCTCCAAAGGCCGCAATATCAGGAGGACGGATGAGGCAATGGATATTTCTGAACTGCTGAGCATTGGGGGTGCGGTGGCGTGTTTTTTTTTTTTTTTTTTTTTTTTATAGAATAGGGGGCAAACGAGCATGCGGCTCACCTGATGTTAAGTGACTACCGCCGCCCATGAACAACCGCAACACCAGGGGAATTGCAGATGCGTTGCCGGCCTTTTAGAAAGGTGTAAGCTCTTTTCTTGAAGGTTCCTAAGTCGTATCGGTTCGGAAAATTCGCTGGTGGTAGTTGATTCCACAAAGAAGTTGTGCGAGGGAGAAAACTTCTTCTAAATCGCACAGTGGTGGACCGCCAATCATCCAGATGGTATGGATGGTAACGCGAGTTTTGTCGCGACGTGCGATGGTGAAATTGAGCGGCTGGAATTAGTCCGAACAATTCCTCAGAGCACTCCCCGTGATAGATGCGATAAAATACGCAAAGAGATGCAACATCTCTACGCAGTGCCAGTGTATCGAGCCGATCGGAAAGAACTCGGTCGTCGACGATTCGAATCGCTCTGCGCTGGATGCGGTCAAGTGGAAGGAGCTGGCACTGGGGTGCCCCGGCCCAGAGATGAGAACAGTATTCCATGTGGGGCCGAACTTGCGCTTTGTAAAGTTGCAAGCGATGTGCCGGCATGAAATACTGTCTCGCTCTGCTGAGCACGCCAAGCTTTTTAGAGGCCAATTTGGCCTTCCCTTCCAAGTGACCACGAAACTGCACGCTATTCGATATGTCGACGCCAAGGATTCCGATACTGGCTGAGGCAGCAAGGGGAGTGCCTTGAAACTGAGGAGATACGACAAAGGGGTTCTTTTTAGCGGTAAACGCGCAAACTTGTGTCTTCTGGGGATTGAACTGGACTAGATTTAGTCGGCCCCAATCCGAGACTTTGTTAAGCAAAGACTCGACTTCAGACACAAGTTTGTCCCGGTACTCGGCGACGTTTTCCCGAGAAATATTGGCACGGCCGGTATATAAGGCATCCCCAGTGCTGTCGTCTGCATAGCAATGAATGCTACCAGTTAGCAACATATCATTGATATGCAGGAGAAACAGCGTTGGTGATAGCACGCAGCCTTGTGGAACACCAGCGTTGATAGGCTTGTAATCAGAGCATGCACCGTCTACTACGACCTTGATGCTCCGATCAGCAAGGAAACTGGTGATCCATTTGCACAATTTCTCGGGAAGCCCATAGGAAGGAAGCTTCGAAAGAAGCGCCTTGTGCCAGACCCGATCGAAGGCCTTCGCTATGTCCAAACTAACGGCCAATGCCTCCCCCTTGGACTCTACTGCCTCCGCCCATCTATGAGTTAAGTAAACTAAAAGATCACCTGCTGATCGACCCCGACGAAAACCGTACTGACGGTCACTGATCAGCTGGTGATCCTCAAGGTACCTCATGAGCTGGCAGTTTATAATGGATTCCATTATTTTGGAGAACAAGGAGGTGATGGCGATAGGCCTGTAGTTGGACGGGTCTGAGCGGTCGCCTTTTTTAGGGATCGGGTGGACCAAAGCTGTCTTCCATGAATTCGGGACTACGCCTTGGGAGTAGGAGTACCGGAAAAGACGCGTTAAAACCGGTGCCAACTCCGGAGCACACGTCTTCAGCACAATGGGATGGACTCCATCGGGCCCACTCGACTTGCTGACGTCCAGGGAGAAGAGTGCTTTGCGAACCGAGCGCTGTGTAAATCGCACATCCGGCATGGAGCACTCACATCGCGGGATGGTCGGCGGTGTGTTCCCCCCGTCATCTAGAGTCGAGTTGGACGCAAAAAGAGAGCACAACAGATCGGCTTTCTCTTTTGCGGCATGGGCCAGTGAGTCGTCCTCTCTGTGCAGAGATGGGAGGGATGGCTGACAGAAGTTCCCTTGGACAGCCTTGGCGAGAGACCAGAATGCACGGGTTCCCGAAGGAAGGCGAACTAGCTTCTCGCCAATTCTGCCGATGTGCTCAGACCTTGCCTTGGCAATGACGCTTTTGAAGGACCTGGAGGCGGAATTATACTTCTTTTTAAGTGCGCTGGTGTTTAAATCCCGAGACGTTGATGCGTCAGCCCAGGCCCGGTAGCACTCCTGCTTATAGCGTGATGCTATTTTACAGGAGCGACCAAACCATGGCTGGGATCTGCCTCCGATGGGCACCACAGAGGATGGAATAAAAAGTTCCATACCCTGAAGTACCACATCAGCAACAGAATCGGCAACAACGCTGGGATCTTCCGGCGAGAAGCAAACCCGCCCCCAAGGGTAGGATGCAAAAAAAGACCGCATCCCGTCCCAATCAGCTGACCTATAGTGCCAAACACGGCGGCAAGCTGTAGATCGCAACTGCGATTGGAGCGTGAGCGTGTCGAAAAAGAATATCATTTATGACACTCCGCAGTTCTAAAAATCTTTGTACCATGTAGTAAGTACTATTCCAGCGCGTCGGTACGCTTTGTATAAGTTTAGTCTCAGTAGAAGTAGCTGTGCGCAATTCGTCACTAGCAACGCAACTTTGTTTGAACTAGATCACAATTGCTTTAATTTTAGTAACAATTTTTTGCCACTCAGTACATGCCATTGTGCCCTCAGCCACCAAATTTAACGTATGAGCCAAACATGGAATGTGTTTCTTCTTACCAAACGTCAATTCTACAGCTTTCACCATATTGGCAGCATTATCGGTTACAACAGCCGTCACATTATCTTTTTTAATACCCCATTCTACACAAGTTTTTAAAAGCATTTCAGAAATATATTGCGACGTATGTCTTTCATCGAGTTCGTACACGCCAAGAGTAACTGAAATGAGTTCAACTTTTATTCCAAAATGAACAGTTACGCCTATAAAACTTTTCATATTTAATGTATCAGACCAAATATCTGTCGTCAAGGTTAAATCTTCTATTGAAGACAATTTCTTTTTAAATGTTTCTGAAACAACGTCATATTTATTATCCAACCATCGTCTTAGACTTGTTCTACTTGGTATTTTATATTGAGGAGCAACTGCTTTCATAAGATTTTTGAAACCTTCATTCTCGACTATTGAGAAAGGCTGGTGATCTTTAGAAATCATATATAACAAACAATTGTTAAGTTTTCTTGTTTTCATGCCGGATTCTGAATAAGAGGAGATTTCTTGAAAACTGGTCTTGATAGATTTTTGACGTTTTATAGGAATTACTTCCGAGTCAGAATCTAAAGCTTTATCCAACGGTTTTGACATACTTTGAGAACTACTCGTCGAAGGAATAACGGTTACGGAATCAGATTGAACTGATTTAAGTTCATCAACAATACCAATGCAAGGTGTATTATTGGAATTTGAAGCAGCTGGCTCTAGAACTGATTCCGTGATACTTTCTTTCTCCGATGTAGTCCTTTGAAACGGAACAATTTCAATGTAAGCAGCCTTGTGGACATTACGAATATGCCCAAATAAGTTTGTTGTATTTCCAGTACACTTGATAACTTTTTGTCATAACTTACATTTAGATTTATTGTCATCAATTCTGTCGTAAAACTTCCAGACTAAACTTTTCTTTTTAGGCGCCATTATATTCTGAAATAGATAAAAAAGGAATGTATTTTCAATTAAAAAATATCGATAACGTGATATCGATAACATGGAATCACTAGTGATATGATTCGTTATTAAAGATGGGTTAATACCGATATTTGTCAGTATTAGTTAATATGAATATATTCGTCAAGTGATATTATAATATTTAAACTAATATATGAATATTACTGATATCTTAATATAACGATTATACGTATCACTATTCTATTCATGTAGGTTATAAGTTTATTTTACCCAGCATAATTTATCACAATAAATAAATTTAAATATACACTATTAAAAAAACTACTAGAGTCAATAAATTTTAAACATCTATAAAGTGTTTTATTTGTAAAGTCCCGCTGCTGGTCGCCGTGATATAAAATATCGAATTGAAAATAGTCCCTAAGAACTATAAAATAGAGAATGAATACCCGTCAAACGCTCATATCGGTTGATTCATTTGATCATTCGGCTAGCTCGCTTGCACCGCTATACTTACGATACGAATGATACAGATATCCGTCACGAATATCAGCAGTCGGGTCTAGCCGAGTGATATTATCCAACCGATGTTGAACAGTTATAATATAGTGTATAAATGAAGTGAATATGGAATATTAGCATATCAGAATCCGTTGGATTACTGATCTATGAATCCACCCAATATTACCAATATCTTAACGAATACGAATATATCGGTTACATCTTTATTCGTTATTAACTTCGGTTTATCTAATAAAAATGTATCGATTACCGTAAGTATCATTTGTTATGATAAATAATTACTCCCTTTAAAGTAAATAATTGGACATTTACATGATTACTTAGATTAGACAGATTAATATGAAAAATATTTTTATATTTCTAACCTAGAAGTCTAAAACGCGATGTAATGTTTTACTTAAATAGGTACGACATTAAGCAAGAAATACAATTAAAGTATTAGTTACGGAATTTTTGTTTCATTTACAATCATGCTTTTACGGAAATCTCGAAAATTGTTACTTATATATTATTTAGATGCACGCACTTACCTTTATTTACTTGTCCAACGTGTTCACAGACTTATTATGATATTAATATTACATATAACGTGTTGTTCAGTTTAACACTTCGAGTTATAAATATTATTGTTAACACGACACAGCAAATTTTAAAATGAATTTTGAATCAAGCTGAGTAGGTAATTAATTAATACAAAAATTAAAATATTATGATTTTTGAAGCCAGAGACTGCAACTAATTGTAAGTAAGAGACAACGACGAGAGAAATGACGGCGGGTCAATTCAGTCGGCCATTTGCATTTATATTTTTTATGGGTTGGTTGCACTGACCTCTATAATATTGGCTGCCTTTTGAACCAGTGATACCACTTTTTGACGAAACACCTTGCGAGAGCTAAATAGTGTAATTGAAAAAGACAAAAAAATAGTTATTGACCGTAGAGAGAGAGAGAGAGAGAGAGAGAGAGAGAGAGAGTGAGAGAGAGGGGTAGGTTTGATTGTTTGCCTTTTCGATGCATCGAAAAAAAAACATCGATGTATACTCGATGTTTAAAACTTAACAATACATCGGTTTGATTCGATGCATCGTTACTATACATCGAGTATTTTTAAAACATCGATGTATATCGTCCACTCCTAAGTTACGGCGACTTAGCCGTAACTTAATGTGCAATCTATTAAGGCTGCAGAGCCTGTCTAGAAGCATATAGTCTTGGACCAGCGACGGAGAGCGGTATTTTTTCACTAGAACAAAAACAGCATTGTGCTGTTGCTGCTATTTTAAGCTGGTATTCTGTGCGAACGTGGTCTTTCCCCATTTACACCGACCCATTTCTGATGCAACCGGAATGGTTGCAACTTGGCTGTTACCGTTAGCTTAGTTAGGAATTCTTACACCGCCACTACACGCAATGTACCACTACCGTTAATAATATTCGGCTTACATTAGCGCTCAATGTTAGACTAAGCGTATTTATATGAAGTAAGAAATAAAAGTTAATTTTCAAGAAGTTAAGGTGAAAGCTCCAGGGTGGCCCGCGAAATTCAAATTTTCTTACGTTTTTTGGAATTTGCAGATTAGGGTCAGGTTGAATATTTAACAAAATATGATTCACGGCCGTAACGAGTATGTGTTTACAGATTTATTATCATTAAAATCACCAATACAACACTCTTAACGTCATATAATCCCTTTGAATGAGTTTTTCTGTAAATAGCCATACAATGGGATTATGCGAACTTAGAGGGTTGTATTGGTGATTTCAATGATAATAATTATATAAACACATACTCGTTACGGTCGCGAATCATATTTTGTTAAACATACAACCTAACCCTGACCTGCGAATCGATCTTCCGGCTACATCAATATTTTTTTTTATGTGGACACCATATAAATTCTACAGAACTAACTATTATATCTACGAAATTTATTTAACAAGCAAGCACATGTTTACTTAAGCCAGTTATGTTGGGGCAAATGAAAATGCTATTAACCATAAAAGCTTTTTACTTAACATGTTGTCTGGACGTTTAACTCGAAGCGCATACGCTAAAATATACACAGAGGTTAAGTTCCAAGGACAGGGTCAACATATGATAGTTTTTTTTAACATTGACGTGGCATACAAACTTAATGGTAAGTGGCCGCAGGCTATGGACACATGCAACCAACTTTATACAAAGAATCTCACTGGCTAGGCAACTAAGTTAGAATGTCTTGTTTCCAGGGTTAACTCTTTTGCATTTACAGGGAATATTTTTCCCACTAACTGGTATCCGGTTGTCTACACGCACCTTACGAAACACAACAGCATTAAGCTGTTATTTTAGGCAGGTATTTTGTGAGAGCGTGGTCCTTCCCAGGTGGAGCCGACCTATTCGAGCTACAACCATAATATAGCTGCAGCGTAGCTCTACCACGTAAAACGTCAACTTTAAGATTTATATAGCAAAATGCACAAAATACCTATAATATATACTGGCTGGCTGGATAACAAAAGCAGACTCCGTTATATAGATATTAACTTCGAGAAAATAATTATTCAGATTAGGTTGCAATAACCTCTTCTATACGTGTCTCTTTATATTGTCATTTAGAGAAAAGAGAGAAAGCAACTCTAAAAAAAATTTAAATTGATGCCGTCGATGTTATGTTAAGGTGGAAGCGCCAGGGTAGCCCGCGAAATTCAAATTTTCTTACGTTTTTTGCAATTTGCAGGTCACTGTCAGGTTGTATGTTTAACAAAATATGATTCGCGACCGTAACAAGTATGTATTTACAGAATTATAATCATTATAATCATCAATACAATAGTCTATGTTCGTATAATTCCAATGTATGGCTATTTCCAGAAAAACTCATTCAAAGGGATTATATGAACTTAAAGGGTGATTTTTAATGATAATAATTCTATAAACACATACTCGCGAATCATATTTTATTAAACATTCAACCTGACTCTGACCTGCATATTCCAAAAAACGCAAGAAAATTTGAATTTGGCGGGCCACCTTGGAGCTTTCACCTTAAGCATTTGAAACATTATTACATTAGGTACATTAGAGAAGCACTTCTCCGTTGCATGCAAGCGTCAAGAGCTCTAAAACTAATTCCGCGTTTCCCTGGCAAAGGTGGTAAAGGATTTATTATTCATGTGACATATATGTACGTAACAGCGAAAATAGACCATTCGTGGTTTGTATTATTAATAACGTACTATTTTACCGTGGGTGTCCTCAGAGGCGACAGAGGGAAATTGAACAGGAGATGGAGGTAGCAGCATTTACCTAAAAATTTTTGATTTTATTATTGTAATTGCATTTAATTTAAAAAAAACTGCGGTCGCCCTACCCCCTGCCAAGCTTATAGGGGAGATATTTGCTAATATCCCCCATACAGCCTTATTGGCTGTAATGAATAAATGTCAATCCATGCTTCACTTTATATAGAAAGCTATTCAAACTTAACAGTTATAGTAAAACAATAATACTTAAACTTTTATAATACACTAGCTGTTCCTCGCGACTTCGCCCGCGTGTAGTTTAGGGTCTTAGTTAGTTCCGCGGAACCCTAACTTTTTCTAAAATATAAGTAGCCTAAGTTACTCCTTATAATATCAGCTATCTACCAGTAAAAGTCCCGTCGAAATCGGTCCAGTCGTTTCTGAGATTAGCCGGAACAAACAGACAGACAGACAAAAATTTTAAAAATTGTATATTTGTTATAAGTACCGTATATATTTTCATATTCATTTAGTAAAAGCTGTTATTTTGACATTACAAACAGACACTTCAATTTTATTTATTTGTATAGATTATGTAACTAAACATATGTGTGTATATTTTTTTTGTTATTTGTTATTGTTACGGCCCGCAGCTGCCCCTGCAAAGTTCGCCTTGGTCGGGGCCCATAGCAGCCAGCTCGACGGGCCCAAATGGCCATATGGAAGAATGTCCTATAATACTAAACTGAAGGGAGAAGGCTAGAAAAATATAGTACGTACCTGAATCCGAAGCTAAGATCGCCCCAAGGCTCGGTCAGGCCGTAGGTGGGTGTAAGGTTCATGGAAAGTAGTGTTTAGTGAGGTGTAGGTGTCTGAGACCTGGACCAGTTGAGGTGACCGGCAGCGGCCGATTTCCAGGCTGCCCCACAATGCTGCATCACTCCAGTAGGCTTCCCCGCTGGACCATTTCTTTCTTCATGGCACTATTCCAGTCTATTAACTTCATTGTACATTCAACTAACCCAAACTCGCCTAATTCCACATTCATCGTAGAATCGAACCCGTGACACCCGACACAGTAACGGACAGTAATTCAAAGTTCAACATTCAATGTCCCGGATTCATTTATCACCAAATGACGAATAGTGAACTTACGCGATCTCTTGGTAAGTCACACGGTTCAGCGTTACAAACACAACTAAATTACATCG